ACAACACATCAATTACAACCCGATATAAACATCCAAGTACAACCTCCAAACCAAAAGGAAGAGACAAAAAACTTAAAATTAAATAAATTAAAATAATCAATAAACGCAACGCAAAATGTACTACAGTTTTTAAAATATATTAAAATTGATAGACCTGATGATGATGTAATACACATTGAAACATGTCGTCGATACAAAAAATGTAACAAGATACAGTGTCTACTGAGAATGTTATAATTTTAAATAATTTTAAACAACATTATTTTAAGTTTGTGTATAGACGGAAAATAAATAAAATATTGTATCAAAACTTACATTCAGAAGAGCAATGTCCAAGAAATAGAAGTGTGTGATAAAGCCTTCTTTGGACTCAGAAATTAATTGGTAGAGAAAAGATATGTACCAAATTATAAGATGTAGAATACATTCTGCTATCACATTAAAAATGTCAGTATTCTGGGGATGTACACAGTGCAAAACAGGAGAATAGTCACCACATTACCAAATTTTGTACCCCCATATGTAACACATTTGAAACCTGTATAAATGGTAACACACTCAAAGTCTCCTGTTACCTACATCAGAGGACTGTGGTCTTACATAAATTGCTGGCATCACCCTCCCACTGCCTGAATACTAATCATCAGATACAACATAGTTTAATAAAACTGAACTAACAGTGTGTGATACAATAGAATAAATTTAAGCTTCAAAATAACTACATGGACAAATTCAGAAAATTAAAATACGATGTTATTTCCTTAGCAACTGTCATCAAAAGTGATTGCAGATGTCAGTGTGGAGGCAGTAAATGAGACAATAATGACATTAAAGTCAGTTTAAATGATGCCATAGTGAGAAAGGTTTAATTAGAGTAAATGTCTAAAAATAGGCCTGTATTTTTTCAATCACTCCTAAGTAAACTAAATGTTACTTTTTTAATATATACAGTTGATAATTAATTATAGGATTCCCACAAAACACAATCCACTTAATATTGGCATCTGAGTAACTCTGAAGTATGTATACTAAATTTTTCCCAGTTTAAAAACTTACCAAATGATTGCAAAACCTTGTAGTTTTCTAGGAGATTGTGATTACGTTTTTTATCATATTCTGACATGTCATTCCACTCATTTAATGAGAAAAGGCTTGACAGTTCACTATAGTTATTCTCATCCATTATGAACTAAATTCTTATTTCACTTAATATAAGAAATACATCATCACCATTTTCATAATTAAATAAAATGATTCCGTTTATTCAAACATGGCTGTATGCCAACACTTCACACGTGTCATAAATTATATTAACTTTTAAATTAAACCTGTTCACACACATTTATCAACAGAGGGAAAAATGAACACCTATCCACATATATTATAGAAAAGGGAAGAAAGAAAAGTTGTAACACAATTACAATTACAATTAAACTGAAACTATTATTTTCTAACAATCTAAAATTGGTTCCAAATTCTATTGAAAAAACTAAATTTTCATTATGCACTAATAAACAGAACTTGTAATACGTAAACGAAGAATTAAACTGAATAAATAAATTGGAGGGGAAAAAACTGACATTCAAATGACACAGTAACCAGAACTTATGTGATGTAACAGTTAGTCAAACAAATTAAAATTAATTCGCAGATACCCGTCACCGAACACTATGTAATCATTAATTCTAATTCCATAATTACATTAAAGAACTATGCACAGTGGTAAAGATGCTAATGCACAAAATCTAGAATGAGACTATTACTGTTTTCGACCGAATTGGCGGCTGGAGCTTGCACCAATCACAAGTACTCTTCCATGGAAGGAAGTAAAGGATGAAGGTGGAGGGGCGAGAAAGTGAGGAAACAATATACAGTGGTGAAAGATGTAGCATCGGTTTACACTTAATGGTTATAACACTACTCAAAGTACACGTAAGAACTGGCAACAACGAACGAAATAATATCATAAAATAAGAATTCCTTTAACGTGCTAAATGTATGTCTAAATGCAGTACAAGTTTGCAGGTAAAGTCAATTTAATTTTAATGTGATGTAAATGTAATGTAAGTAACTCAGATTTTCATGTTGATAGAAAATATGCAACCAGTGATCTACTGTTACTTTCTGTGCTTTCATTTCATGAACTGTATAAAATTAGAACATAATAATGCCACCATGATTCATCTCTGAAAATGCTTTAATTCAAAATAATTTAGTTGAAATGCAAGTATAAATAAAGATTATTACAAAAGTACATATATATAAGAAGAAGAAGAAGAAGGCAGATCTGGGGCAAGTTGATGATGCGGAGTTGCTTCACATAGGTAATAATTCTAGTTCTCCCCTTTTTTTACATGGCGAGAGAAGACATTTACATTTGTTGGTACATGCACTTTTGTTTTGCAACCAGTCTACAAAGCTACAAATTTTCTCAGTTGTGAGTATGTAATACAGAGTAAAGTTGATTTTATTATATTTCTAGTCTCTGAAATTGTTCAGAATACATCATACATAATCTGTGCTACATCACTGTAGCGCAGAGTAAGAAGAAAGTGCACTTTATGTTTCATGATAAATTTTGTTTCCTCTCGCTTTCTTTAATAGATTTACTGTTACAAAGTACCAGGAAATGTAAAGTTATACTTTCCCACTGTGAATGTAGGAACTTCGTAATATGGCAGTAACACACAATATTGTTGTTCACAGGGACCTAGGTTTGTGTCCTGTTTGCAGATATTTTACTCTGCAGTGAATTTTCAGAATGTGCTGAATACGAGGTTGTTGCTGTGGTTTGCAGCCTGTGTGAGATTGCAGAAGCCCTGCGGCAGTGTAATGTTTGTCATTCTGAACTTTGAAAGTGTGCATTCTGTCTCATAAATGAAATTCTTGGCCACACGAGGTAAAGTTGAAAAGTTCATAATTTACTCTATAAGTTTTTGTTTTGTGCAAAAATTAATTGAAATTACAGTTTAGTTCTTGCAGTTAATATAATTTAATTTGCAATATTTAATATTCTTCTGCTGTTGTGTGAGTTAATGAGCTGACAGGATAATTAATTTTCTACCTTAAATTAAGTGGTCATAATTACAATATAGGTCTCTTTTGTTACCTGTCTTAAAACCCTTAGAATGAGATTTAATAGCAGTGCATAGCATTAACTTCATTCTCTGAAATCACCACTTTATGATCCAATAAAATAATCTCAAATATCTTTTGAATAACAGAATGGAATGGCTATCCTCTGAGGTACAGATTTTTTCCTGTGAAGTTCAGAATAGATTTCCATTTTTGAAACTTGAGCATAAGACATACATGTTTGTTTCATGAGGTGTGACAATTACATACCTGAAATGCCCCATAAAAGTAGTGTTAATTACTTGCACAATAATGGTTGCTATCACTTTTGAAGCAGTCTTCCTGCATACCAATACACTTTGTGAACCAGATTATCCTCTGCTGGAAACGTTTCTGTTACTCCTCTTTAGGAATGCTCTTCAGGATGGCCATTGCATGTCCCTGAAATTCTGTGGCCCTCCAGAGGAGTGTTCAGTTTAGGGAATAGCGAAAAGAGGTGAATCTGGTGGATGGTCCAGTTTCAACATCAATTTCTGGCTAAAACAAACTCGTGGACAGCGAGTGATCATTAGCAGGGGCATTGTCATGATGTGTAACTTTGCCAGTATTTCCAAATAACGCTGGTTTGCTGCTTGACGTCGTTCAACAAACTCAAAGTGAACAGTGCTCTTGTGATCAAAAGGGAAGAAAAAGACAAACAAGGATTGTCTTCACCTGACCCTCCTTGAGTCTTTTATGTCACTTGTAGACAATCAACATTTTCATGGCAACAGCATCTTCAACCTCTGTCAACATCCACACAGTAAGATAACTAAAAGAATTTGTGAATATAGGCCTGCAAGTCGCAGAGTTGAAGGATGCTTCTGAATCACAGCATGCCCAAGACCTAATATCTGGTTGATGAATATGAGGACGTAAGATGAGATAAAGATAACACAGCATGTACAGAATCAATGTTCATTGCCTTAAAATTCTTTGGTACACAGTCCCATTATTATAGAATCTTAATTAAAACATCAGTTTTTATTTAATACACGAGCAGGAGTCCTTTCTTCAGTCCCTTCTTTCTTACTTTCTTCATTCCTTTCTTTCTTGTTTCCTTCATCCCATGCCTTATTCCAGACCCACATTTTTGAACAAGGGGGCACAGTTGCAGTGTTATTACAAAGGCTGCATGCAGTCAGACTGTGAACTGGTTCTTAATCTGTTACTGCACAACATACGCATTGGCAGCACTGTGTTTGCTAGAAAGAAGAGCAGCACGCGAGAATTAACAGGTTGTGGGGGACTGCATGCCATAAAATTTGAAGGCACAGAATATTTTCCCGGTGAACGCAGTGGATGAAAGAGATTCACTTCACATATGTGCTTTACGTTGGCAGATCCCAGGGCTACTTAAATTAATTATGCTGCAGG